CATGTAACTACTTCATAGGGTGTGGATGGATCTTCACCAAAATTGGTATGGAGGTTCATTGGGTCAATGAGGAGATGCATACAAATTTTCAGTTTTGCAGTTTTTATGGACGCTTTTTACCACTATATCGCCCCCTGTTGGTGAATCTTCACCAAATTTGGCAAGATGGTTTGTTTGGTCCATGCGGAGATACCTGCAAACTTGCGGTTTCACATTTTGTGTTTTGCAGTTTTATGGGCGTTTTTGCATTTTCTACACTTACATATAACTTTTCATGTCCTAAGATAAATTTTTATTAGTCATGAATTTACATAACTACCGTCCAGGAGACGGGTACTCCAGCTAATTATATATAATGTTTTATAATGCCATCCCTCTCAGTCCGCATGTGCTACCCACACCACTGATGGTCATTTCAATCGAATAATAAAAGGATTATCTCTTCCAGGTATCACTTAACTCACCTACAGGAAAGATCGCTGTCCATTTTACATAGTGTACCCTTCTATACAGAAATCTTTTCCACGAGAAAGTTCACGTGAAACCATAAGAAAATGAACAAGAACAATGAATAGTTAGAACGAAAAAACGTAATCAGATTCATTGACCAACACTATGTTAAAAGTACACACATGCCTGTTATGTGTACATATTGTTACGACATCGAGGTCACGTGACTAGTATCACGCCACGTCGTTCTCTAACATTCACGTCCTTTCCTTAAATCTCGTGATCCTTCTAGATATATGTAGTCTTGAATATAAAAGACCGGCCAGCCCCCCAGTGGCACAGCGGTATGTCTGCGGACTTACAACGCTAGAAACCGGGTTTCGATACCCGTGGTGGGCAGAGCACAGATAGCCCTTGTGTAGCTTTGTGCATAATTAAAAACAAACAAATAAACAAACAATAAGACCGGCCACGAAGCGACAGTTTGGTTGAGTAATTGAATGTATGCTGACAGAGAGAATATTGGGAATTATAGCGTTTGTTATAGAGCGACTGTTGAAAGTAAGTGTATCGTAAAGTTGTATCCGGAAAGAATAAACCAGTTTTATTTAATAAAGGACTTGTGTCGCTAAAGTTTCATCTGAACGAATTTACGGGAAATTAACTAACGAACGGAGACGTAACAATATTTTAATTCTTGGTGAACTTGAAATGTTATCCTTACTAACTAAAAAAAGCAAGAAACAGTATGCATTTGCACACCACAAGGCCACTAACACTAGAACAGCGCGTGAGATATTATAAGATTCCAAATACAAAATGTCATCGATATCAAAGTAGTAGATTCCATTAATACTGAAGCAATGCATGAGATGATGTAGACCTTTAAAAATGTCACTCATAAGAGTGTAACAAATGTAACTAATATTGCAGAACAGTACATAAAATACTGTTATGTCCAAATATAATATAAACCTGATATCAGAGTAATATATGTTACAAATGCCTAGACTGTGCATGAAATGTTATTTATACAGGACTAATAGATGTTACTAATACCCGGGTAGTGTGTTATGTGAAACGAAGATATACAAATATTAAATGCCATTAATACTAACCTAGTGCATGAGATGTTATATATATATATATATTAAAACTAAATATCAATGATGTCGTATATTTCACTAACTCTCTGCTGGAGGATGTTGTATTATAGTTATTCAAGCAGTTAACATCAAATTTTGCGAGATAACATACATAATGACATAGATGTCACTGATGTTCGGGCAATAGATAATAGCACATAATTATTTAAAACGTATATGTCATTTATTTTCATGCAATGTATAAAATGGTAATTGTTTGTTTTGTTGTTAAGTGCAATCCCGATTTTTAGCGTTATAGGCTCTCAGAGTTATTGCTGGGCTACATTGGGGCTGAAATATTAATAATATCCAGTTAACAAATTTATAGATATTCAATAGCAAACATTAATGACAGCTTAGTGGTGAAAAATATTTAATCATATAGTAGTAAAGTTTAATCATTCTTGCTCCTAGCATAAAACAATTTTGGTGGTTAGTTTTATGCGAAAGAAGCATACTTTTAATGAATTTCAACACTGTTGTCTCGGTAGTAAAAGGCAGCAGCTAAATTTACACTATAACATTGTTACATCAAGTGAGTAACTAGCGTACACCAGCAGTATTGTTTACATTAAAAGAAACCCTATCTTTATAAACACTAACATTAATACTAAAATTAAACTACCTTATAATACCAAAATGTTATTTTTATTTAATTAAACACTCAACGTTTCGCTTTACATCTTCTTCAAGAGCGTTCACTAAAACACAAACCGAAACTGACAGTACGGTTTGAACGCTCCTGAAAAAGCTGTAAAGCGAAACGTTGAGTGTTTAATTAAATAAAAACAACATTTTCGTGTTATAAGGTCGTTTATTTCCAGTATTAACATGTCTTCTATATACAAATCTGCACTATAAAAATTAAACACTAAAATTTTCTATCGTTTGAAAGATTTAGTTGGTAGGACGAGAAGAGTAAGAAGTAACTAAAAATAAAGCAAGAGATAATCCTGAGGATAAAGAGAATGTAAACAAAACCATTAATGGTTTGGAGAACATAGTAATATGAGGATTTATGTTTACTGTTGTTTTATTAGTTTATGAGTTGTTCTTCTGAAAGCATTGAAAGACAGTGTATATAACCTGAAAATAATAAAAAACTAACTTTACGTTATTACATTTAAAACCCTCACACATATTTTACATAGCTGATTTCGGTTTTTAGACCAACATCACGTGAAACAAGTTAAAACTCAGATGATGTGGGATGATAAATTTTTTTTTTAAATTATATATATAACCTGTACGAAATATATAACTTATTATAAGTGCACATACATTAGTTAGCACATAAAGTTAGTTAGGTAAATCGGAAGTTCACTGGTACTCGGTAGAAGAATTATGTAGAAACTACGTATTACTTTAATAAACAAAATATTTTGTAATTAAATATGTATAATTAGTTTTTCATTTTATAAAACACTTACCAGTAGTTACTCTACTGAAGTCTTAAAGGATCCTTTTGAAAAATAAAATCATCCGTGCCATTTTCCAGTACCTAAGCAGAAATTCCCTACCCTACGCTTTATAAAGCACGATCCACGCCGCAACTTCGTGAATTATAAAACTAACGCTTCGCTTGAAGTGTGAAAGAATAGCACTAACAGATACAAGACTACCTCGATTACTCTTAGGCCTAACGACCACTGCTACCACGATATCGACTATCTACTACACTTCCTCTCATCTCGCTCGCCGATCTCTTGTTTCTCAGATTCAGTATATCCGGGTCTTCAGCAACGCAATTTGATTTCACACGCCATTCTTTTGTTGTAGGAGCATATAAAATCCCCAAATAACTTTACCTGTTTTTTTTTAAAAACTTCACAAACGTTATTACTTTAAAATAGTCCAACATTCTATGTTTAGAAACTTCAATAACCATAACTACCGCATCTTTTACTAATTGCTGCATTCACCATTTCCATGACTGTAAGATGGAAGTTGGAAATATTAACACCAGTGGCGCTACTGTCCAAACGGCTCAGATTGTAGCTAAATTGTGGATTACATTGATCGCTGTGCGTCATATGCTGTAAAAATGACAAAAAGTAGCAATTGATTGCCTGTTCGGCTAACCTTCGTTAACACAATACAAATCCACATTGAAAAGTTATGTTTAAAAATATTTTCGTTTATATACCCAAAAATTTATTAAAAAATCGAGGTAAAATTTAGGGAGAAGAAAAAAAATGAATGTTTATTTTCACAGATTTACCATCTTTTGATCAATGTAAAGGTAGTCACATTGAAATAAACAGTTTTAAGTAATTCAATGTAGTATATACTAGAAAGTCAGTTAACAGAAAAATAACTTCAACTACTTTTATCTTTGTTCCTATAGCTGTAGTTTATAAAATGTTGGATAACAGGAATATAAATAAAGGTATCTCCAGCTTGTGTTTTAAAACCTTTAGCAATGAATGGGCACTGATAATAATAAAGAATAAATAAAAACATAAAATTTCGAGGGAAGAGCTGGATATCGTTGGTTCAAGTATAATTTGTAATTACCAGACTCGAGAGTCCTTAACTGTTGTTTATCCTCAGCTCTGCTATTAGATATAAAAAAATGTCTTCTCTAATAGGACAATTACACCTCCTGTATTAATATGTGTTGAGGGGAGGGGGTGCTGAAAACAGTTGTTTTTCGAGTATGCGACCACATGGTGGTCGTTCCCGCATATACATGTACTTTCACGCACTAAAGACAGATACTTTAACTTGTCAATGACAAAATGACTGTCCCTATTAACACACGAGTAACACAAAAATGTATAAACAAAAGTATCGTCAATATTGCAGTTAATATAATAATTACTATTTAGGTTCCCTATCGATCTTACTTCGAAAATCAGTGATTTTACTTTTTTTTTCAGTTCGTCACACCGACTGTTGCGGCAGGGAAAAACATCAAATTCTCAACATGATCCAATATATGGACATAACGGTAATGAACAGTATGTAAACACTTCGGTAATTTGAGGATTAAAATGATATATATATATATATTTATAATTCTTAAAACAGGTATTAATGCTCCTTTGATCTCTATTTGCTCATGTATTCTGTCTAAGATAATTATTAGTTTATTCTTAATATGTTGAGTGTTATTCTGTAATGGTAAAGTTAACTGCAACACGATTTTTAAGAAACAATATAATTCTAGTCGTGGTTACGTGGTTCCTTGCATGACAATAGTAGTAAAACTGTTTGGAATGAATTAATTTTTCGGAATAATCTAATTCTACTTACTTCTCCAAGTACTAAAATATTGTTACGTCTCCGTTTGTTAATTAACTTTCCGTAACTTCGTTCCGACGAAACTTAAGCGACACAAGTTCTTTCTTAATAAAACTGGTTTATTATTTCCGAATATAAC